AAAGTTCCCCTGGAAAGAGAAGAGCCAGCTGAATAGGAGCCCGTTTATTTTTCTGGGCCTCTGGGCCCCTTGCTTCCTGTCACCCCAGCAAGATCCCATGATGACTTGTCTTCTCTCTGATTGCACTCTGTATGGGTAGCCAAGACTCTATCTCTTTGACATTTCTTTCCTTCTATCCCCATTGCCACCATTTTATTTTTCTTGTTCCTCTGTCCCCTCAACCAGTGTCTGTTCATCCTCTGTGGTCCTTCTGGGAAGAAGAACAGGATGCACTGATGAACCAGGCAGATAAAATCCCTGCTCTCCAGGAATTCAGTTCTAGTGGGGAGAGACAGGTGGTAAAGACAGGGAAATATCTGACCTTTATGAGATCTGAGACCCAGAGGATAGGAAGAAGCCCCCACAAGGCCAGCATAGAGCACTCCAGCACGTCTTTGGGCAGGAAGAGCCTGGAGTGTTGGGGAAGAAGAAGAGGCCAAGTCATCCAACACATACACCAGTCCTGCCATGCTGCTCTCAGCACCAAGTCCAAACTCCTTAGCTTGGTCTACAGGGCCCACAAAACCTAATGTTACCAACTTCTGGTCCCCTGGACACCCTCACCTGTCCCTGAGTTCACCCTGCCCTTCCCCAACATCTCACCCCTACGGTGGTGTCCTCTCTGACTAGAATGTTCCCCCAGGTACTCTAGGACTCAGCCAAGAGTCATTTCTTTCAAGAAGCCTTCCCTGCCCATGCCAGCCTGAACAAGCCTTCCTCTGAGTTCCTACCTGTCCCTTCCCCTGAAGTTTACTGTGGTCAGTTTACAGGACCGCCTCCCCTTCAGCCTACATGCAGTAGAACAGGAAGCACCTGTGTCCTCATCAACCCCAAGCCCTGCCCAGCTCCTGCCACAGACTACACAGAGGCTATGAAGGCAAATGTAAGATGGGAAGATCAGACAGTCCCTTCTCCAGGTCTTCTTTGCCTGGCCCAGCCTCCTCTGATGAAATAGACATGAAAGATCCTTTTGAGTCCCTGAGTTCTGCTGTGGTCCTCAAGAGTTCCTGCCAGTCCTTGGAGCCATTAATGTCTGAAGTCCCCCCTTCCCTCCCCAAGTACTGTCTAGGGCCAAAAGACATGGACATTCTGCTCTACTCTCCTGAATATCCAGCAGTTCTAGTGGAGCCTCTCAGGATGCCTGCCCAGCAGGGGGCTGAAGCACATGAGTTTCCAACTCATCCTCAACTGGGGTCCCTCTCTGAGATGAGGAGCACCCCACTCACTGAACCACCTACCTGTGCTTTGACCCTCACAGCAACTCAGCAGGGCACCACACCACTGTCCCCATTTTTTGAGGTTTGGGGTTTGGTTTTTTTTTTGGCACTGGGGATTGAACTCAGGGGCACTGGACCACTGAGCCTCATCCCCACCCCTATTTTGTATTTGACTTAGAAACAGCATCTCACTGATTTGCTTAGTGCCTCACTGTTGCTGAGGCTAGCTTTGAACTCGTGATCCTCCTGCCTCAGCCTCCCAAACCACTAGGATTGCAGGTGTGTGCCACAATGCACGGCCCACTGTCCCCATTTTGCAGATGCTGCAGGGGTCCTGCAAGTTCCAGCATTTGCTTGTTGTCCTCTGGAGGCATCCACATTTCAGAATGAAGACAAAACCCTCCATGCCTCCCATGCAGCACCTGAAGAGCCAAGAAGTTGGTGTCCAGTGGGAGCTCAGCAGGGCTACTGCAAGGCAGCAAACCCATTACTCTGCCCCTCCCAGTAAGCCTAGAGGAACAGGACCCTGAGGACAAAAATTGGGGGTTGCCAAGATGAAGCCTAAACCTTTATTTATGCAGATGCTGGTACCTCTGATCATCTCTGGGGCAAGCAAACGACTGGAGGGTTGCAGAAAAGGCTGTGCCCTAAGGAAGCAGCAAGGGATCTTGGCCCTTCACCCACCCCACAAAGCAGGAGTAAGGGTTTCTCCAGCAGACAGAGAGAGGAGCAAGCTCTCCCCTTGCTCCCTTGAAATTACTCTCCCATTTGACAAAGGCAGTCTGTGTGGTGGGCACTGCCACCTCTGTCCTGCCTGTTTCTCCACCTTCTCCTTCCATGGCCCCTCCTGGCCTAGCAGGAGGCTTGGGGATGAGGACGAATCACAGGGTGTGCCGGCTTGGCATCCGGATCTTGGCTAATCTGGGCTCAGTCCTGCCTTGCTGCCAGCAGGTCACACCCTTTCTGGTCTCAGGCTTCAATTCTAAAAATGGAACTTGTGTGGTTTCCACATTTTTTTTTTCTTCACAGAGCTAGAGTTGCCCAACACAAAGCTCCAGGGACAGCTTCCTTCAGAACAAAGCAAAAATCAGTAGCAGCACATGGATGAGGAAGGGGCTCCCACCGGCCCTCACTGTCCCTGCCCCATCCTGTTCCTCTGAAAGGATGGGGGTTGAGGCCTGGGTCCCGATGGAGAGCCCAGGTCTTCTGAGGGAATGGGGCCTGAGGTTCTCCAGACGCTGGCAGGCCACCATGGCAATTCCTCCATGTTTTGAAGCCCAGGTCGGTGGCAGCTGGGTTCTTCAGTGTTCTAGAGCCCAGGTCCCTGCAGTCATGCCTTGACTGCACCCTCACATGCTGGGCAGACTGTACAGCTGGAGGAGGAAACCTCAGCCTCAAGAGGGCCGCTGCCCAGGGCTGGGATTTAGCTTAGTCATGATATGACTATATGCAAAGAAAAGAAGAAGAAGAAAACAAAAAGGATGGCTGTGCAAACCAGGTGCAGTGGCACACACCTGTAATCCCAGCAGCTTGGGAGGCTGAGGCAGGAGGATCATGAGTTCAAAGCCAGCCTCAGCAACTGAGGCCTTAAGCAACTTAGCAAGATCCTGTCTCAAAATAAAAAATAAAAAGGACTGGGATTGTAACTCAGTGGTTATGTACCCTGGATTCAATTCCCAGTATCAAAAAAAAAAAGAAAGAAAGAGGGTACATGCCTAGCCACATACAGTACCCTGAGCACAGAGGTCTATAAATGAGGACAGATGCATAAAGGTGAACAGGAAGGACTTCTCTGCCACACAAAGGTGGTCCTGGCTGCATGCACATTTGTAGAGTCACCTCACACTTACTGAACCCAAATATGTCTCTTGACCTAAGCTGTGTGCTGGAAGGCTCACCCTTCAAGTGGCCAGGAGAATATTTATCCTACTTCGCTTCTGAATCATGAGTTGTGGTTGGGAAGTGCTGAGCCTTGTGTGCCTCTGGCATGGAAACTTGACCACTATATGTGGGTATCTAGAAAGGGCCCTGCTAAAAGCTGGGAGAGAGTCAGGCGTCAAGGTGATCCCAACAGTTCCAACATGGCTTGACAAACACCATAATAGACAAACACTGGAGCTGGTGCTGGGCCCAGGTCCTGGGAACTGAGATTCTGTATCAGCATTCTCTGTGACATGTTACCATAATACACATGGACAGAAGCGTTGAAATGTGTGCAGCAAACCCCCACTTACTCATCACGGAGAGTCTACCATTTTGCCCTATTTGCTTATCAAGGGTCTCTCTTCCTATCTGTGTCCATCAGCTCTTCCTTTACCTGTGCATTTCATTTTTTTTTTAAAGAGAGAGAGAGAGAGAGAGAGAGAATTTTTTTAATATTTATTTTTTAGTTTTCGGTGGACACAACATCTTTGTTTGTATGTGGTGCTGAGGATCGAACCTGGGCCGCACGCATGCCAGGCGAGCGCGCTACCACTTGAGCCAATTCCCCAGCCCATACATGTGCATTTCAAATTAATTTGCAAACAAACATCAGTACACTTTACCCCTAATTTCTTCAGCAATTCATATCCTTAAGTTCATATCCTTAAGTTCAATATTTGTAATTTCAGAGAACATTTACATATGGTGGAATACACACACCTTAAGGATGCCATTCAAAGAATTTTGTTTTACATTATATGTGCCTTTATTTCAGAAACTTTATTTCAGAAACTTTTTTTTTCTCCTTTCAGCATTTGGAATGGAACCCAGGCCTCATGAATGCTAGGCAAGTGCTCTATCATTGAGCTATATCCCAGTCCTTTAATTTTGAGAAAGGATCTTGCTGCATTTCCCAAGTTGGCCTCAAACTGACAATCCTCCTGCTAAAACCTCCCATATCACTGGGATTACAGGTGTGTGCTGTCACACTCGGTTAGTTTCTTTTTTAAAGCCATTTTATTGTTTTTTATTTTTTGTGATGCTGGGAATTGAACCCAAGGCCTTGCATGTGCTAGGCAAGGGCTCTATCACTAAACTACACCAATCCCAGCCATAGAGCCATTCATACTTTCACAGAAAATTTTGAGCAAAAAGTACAAAGAGTTCCCCCATACTTCCCCTTCCCATTATCACACTACTAGTGTAGTGTGTTTGTTAAAATTGATAGATCCATACTGATACATTAACCAAGCTCCAGAGTTGACCTGAGGCTCACTCTGTACTGCACATTGTATTGTGAATTCTGTAGGTTTTGACACATGCACAGTGATCTGAAGAGTTCTGAGAAAACATTCATCTGTGTATTGGAAACCCTACCAAGCAATGGGACATTTCCACCACAGTTCAGAGCCTGCAGACGAGAAGCCCCCCTCCTCCAGTATGACCTCATCTCAATCAATTTCATCTGTAGTGTAACTATTCCAAGTATGATCATGTTCTGAGTCATGGAGATAGGATTTCAACAAATAGATTTTGGGGGACACAGCTCAGCCCTAAAGAAACACAGCAGGGGTCAGGGCAGAGCATAGGGTGGCCAGCACAGTTCCCCAGTTACCCCACTCCTTTCCTCCTGCCCTCTTCTCTACTCCCCTAGGTGCTACATCTCCAAGAGAGGTGGGTATCTGTCCCTTCAGCCTGCTGCTGTCACCAGGCAGGCCCAGGAGCTTCCTCACCCACCTGACAATCCCTGGTTGGTTCCCAAATCCTCTCCCTCTGTCAGCCATCTTCTCATCACTATAACTAAATGCTTGAGATGACAACTTAAAAGAAAGGAGGTTTATTTTGGCTCACAATTTTGCAGGTTTCAGTCCATGATTGGCGGACCCAATTTTGGGGGCCTGTGGTGGTACATCATGGCAGTAGCACATGGCACAGCAAAGCCACTCACCTCATAATCAGGAAGCAAAAAAGAAAGAGAGGAAGAGATTAGGGTTCTACAATCTCACCTTTTTAAATTTTTTTTTAGTTGTAGATGGACATAATACCTTTATTTATTTATCTTTATGTGATGTTGAGGACCGAACCCAGTGCCTCACCCGTGCTAGGCGTGTGCTCTATCACTGAGCCACAACCCTAGCCCCCACAATCCCCTTTAAGGGCATGCCCCCAACCACCTCTCAAAGACTCCACCACCTCCCTACAGCATCACCCTGGGGACCAAGCTTTAAACACTGGAACTTCAGGGGCTGTTTGTAGCTCCGCGGGGGAGCATTGCCAGCACCAAAGAAAACTTTTTAAAGTAATAAAAAAAAAAAAAAGAAAGAAAGAAAGAAAAAAATCGCTGTAATCCCAGTGGCTCAGGAGGCTGAGGCAGGAGGATCACAAATTCAAAGCTAGCCTCAGCAACAGCGAGGCACTAAGCAACTCAGTGAGACCCTATCTCTAAATCAAATACAAAATAGGGCTGGGGAATGTGGCTCAGTGGTCAAGGACCCCTGAGTTCAATCCCTGGTATGCCCCCCACAAAAAAAAACAAAAGACAAAAGAAATTTCCCAGGCTTCCCTTGGTCCCCAGGTCACAGGCCACCCTAGAGCCATCTCTACGGTCGGTCTTAGGCCCAGGAGGATCCACCTTGGGGACAGGCTGTGCAGGATGGAAACAGGAAATGCAGCAGGGCTGCCTCTATCTCTGAGTCCAGGAGCCCTGTTCCCTAGGCAGCACTTCTGCCCTCAGGCGGTCCACTCTTAGGATGGTCCAGCTTACCCAGTCAGGCTTCTAGCAGAGCTTCCTGGGATAAGCTCTGGAGTGAGTGTAAACTGGTGGATTAACAGCCATGTTGGCAGAAGAGAGCCATGTGTCTCTTCCTGCTGGACTCACAAGTGGGCCAAGCAGGGACCACAGGCCTCTGGCAGCATCAGAAGACAGAGGTTGGGATGGGACACTGGCCACAGTGGGGCTGAGGCTCAGCAACAGCGCATGCAGATGCAGCCACCACACAGAGGAAATCCACAGCGGGGACAGAGCCAGTCCCCACCCAACCCACAGGGGGTGGGTTGCAGTCAAGTTCTGTGAATAAGCCCTAATGGCGCCATCTGCTTAGGCCTGCAGGACAGATCCTGATGGGGCCTGGGCCTGGGAGAATATAGCAGACACTGAGCAAGAAACCAAGCAAAGGAGGTGGCTCTGCTGTGGGATAAGCTGGAAGATACTGAAGAGGACACGCTAGGCTTCAGAGGGAGACCTGGTGGTGAGCCACTGGGTTCAGGGGAGGTTCATTGCATCCAGTCCCCGTGACTTCCTTATCTACAGAACCTCATTAACCAGGTATGGCTTATGTCCCCCACTGCAGGCCCAGAACACCTCACACCCATTTCTCCTATTTCTCATGAGCACCACCCAGGGCAGAGAGCACCTTCCCTGTACAGATGGAGAAACTGAGGCTATCAGAGTGGGGAGAACTGGTGGCAAGGGCTTGACTCCAGTCTGGCCATCGGACCCACTGTAGGCTGCAGGAAGTAAGTCTGAAGCATTTAGTGTGGCACACTCTGGGAGCTGGCTCTTCAGGGAGACCATTAGCCATGCCTTGGCAACATCCTCAATCGATACTCTGGAAGCTGCTGCGCAGGAGGCCAAGTCCCTGGCACACAGGAAGCTCCTCTCCTTTCCCAGGACCACACATCAGCCAGGTCTCTTTCAAATGCTGTGGAGTCCTGCTGGTCCCCTCCTCAGCTCTGATTCTGGAAGTGTGGTCCTGTGGCTGTTGTGACAAATTACCATGACCTGGGAGCCAAAAACAACAGGAATCCATCTTCACAGTTCTGGAGGCAAAGGCTCAGCATCAACCGGTGGACAGGCTGGTTCTCTGGAGGCTCAGGGACCCTATTCCATACCCCTGTCTTGCTCCTGGAGGCTCCTCATGGCCCTTGATGCTGCTTGGTCCGCAGACACACCTCTCTGGTCTCCATCTTTGTGGCAACATGCTCTTCTTTTTTGTCTCCATGTGTAAAATTTCTCCTCCTCTTCAAGGACACTGTCCTTTGGATGTAGGGCTTCCCTAAGTCCTGGGTGACCTCCTGAGATCCTTGACACCCACAAGGACCTGATTCCAAGTGAGGCTACACTCAGGAGAGGGATAAGATGTGGAAGCAAGTTTTGAAGGCCCTCTCAGCAGTCAGAGGCCTCTCCACAGGCAGGCTGATCGGGAGGCCACAGTCCTCCTAGATAGAGGAGGCAAGTACATCTCCTGAGGGTCGACTGCTGATCTGTTCTCAGTGCAGCTCCATCCCAGGGCCTGTTCTTTTTTTGCTTTTAATTAAATCTATTTATTTTTTATTTGGTACTGAGGATTGAACCCAGAGGCACTTTACCACTGACTTGCATTAAAGTAATTTTCAGTTGATATATAGCAACATAAAAATTGTATGTATTTATAAGGTGTCATGAGCTGTTTCTATACATGTGAGCGCAGAGCCTCTTCAAGGAGAAGGAGGAGGAAGACAATTGTTTTCAGCTTGTCCTGGCAGATGCTTTTTTGGGGCCATGGGCCACCTCTTGTGCCTGGCAAGTGCCCTGGGCAGAAAATGCTCTTTGACCTGAATATCTAACAGACCAATGAACTTGCCCACTGAGGCCCAGCTTGACCATCAGCCCTCTGTGAGACAAGCTTATCTGTCAGCAAGTCCTGGCCTCTGTGAGGGCTCTCTGCAAGCTGAAATGCTCTCGGCCTATCACTACAGCAGCACTACCTAAGAAAGTCACACTGTGAACCCTAGTGTCACTGGAAATTTCCTGAAAGCCACAATTAAAAAAAAAAAAAAAAAAAAAAAAAAAGACAGGCACTATGGCACACACCCCTAATCCCAGCCACTCAGACTTGGGAAGCTGAGGCAGGAGGATGGCAAGTTTGAGACCAGCCTAAGCAACTGACTCAAAATTGAAAAATTTTAAAAAAGGGAGTGGGGGATGTGGCTCAGTGTTAGAGTGCCTGCCTAACCTGCAAAGTCCTGGGTTCCATCCCCAGTATCACACACACACACACACACAGCAAGAAAGAAAAAGAATAAAGAAAAAAAGCAGGTGTCATTAACTTTAACATGCATATATGTACATGTATGTATATGCACACCCACATATATCATTCATCAGAAAATTTTATATAAGTATTATTAAAATTTACAAAATTAGATTGGGAGTGTAGCTCAGTGTAGTGTGTGTGTCTTGCATGCACAAGGCCCTGAGTTCCATCCCTAACACCAAAAATAAAATCAAATATTAAGCCAGGTGTAATAGCACATGCGTATAATCTCAGCAGCTTGGTAGGCTGAGGCAAGAGGATCACAAGTTCAAGGCCAGCCTCAGCAACTTAGTGAGGCCCTAAGCAACTTAATGAGACCCTGTCTCAAAATAAAAAAATAAACGAAAAGGTCTGGGGATGTGGCTCAGTGGTTAAGTGCCCTGGGTTTAATCCCCAGTACCAAAATTAATTAATAATAAATTTAATTGTGGCAAAATAACATAACATTTTCACTTTGGCCACTTTAATTGGGCAGTTGGTGACATTATGTACAGTCATACTGTTGTGCAACCCTCAAATCATCACCAGAGAACTCTTTCATCTTCCCAAATGGGGCTGGGTCTTTGCAGGTAGCCTGCCACATTCCTCCACCTGGGACACCAAGCCAGGCCAGGACTGCTGGATTTCCTGACCACAGGGCCATGCTTGAGGAGCTTCCAACTCCATTCTGGACACTGCTTTTTGTTTAAAATCAGATGTTCGTTGGCCCGGTACTGTTCCCAAGCTGCTGCCTGTCCTTCACAGCCAGCCTAGGCCGCTGTGCTGTTCTGCTAGGTATGGCTAAGGCTGGGGGCAAAAGCAAAGGAACTGTCAATCCTCTCTGGGGCTCTCTGCCTACCACTGTGGCTTTCCACCAGCACCAAGCCTTGGGCCTGACTCAATGACAAACTTGTCCTTGGGGATGAGTGGGGGCTTGGGGCAGTAGTGCAGTCAACCAGGGATGAAAGCTGCTCTGGCCAGCCATTCACCTCCTTCCCCCAACTCACCCTCCTCCCCCTGTACTTTTCCACCAATGGGTTGACTCAGGACAATGTGGAAACAATTATGACGATCAATAGCAAGTGGCTCAGAATGCAGCTGGAAGCAGCTGGAACGTTTCTGGGAGATGGATCAATTCATTTTCAACAGTATAAAAGCAAAGAGATGACTTTCCTGGCAGCCTGGTGAGCAGTGTCTGCCCTATGAGGAGGGTGCCATCCAGTGGGTGGGCAAAGGGCAGAAGGGAGGGGCCTTTGAGAGCCAGGTGGTCAAGTGCACAGCTGGATTCCCAGGGCAGTGACAGGCCGGGCAGGCATCAGTGCTGCTGAGCACCCGCTGGGTAAGCAGGTTCTCATAGAGCCTTCAGGCACACCCTGCCGTGAGGACCTACTGCTCTTGTGTGTAGTGGCTGGCTGCAAACACATATTCCCTGGCTACAACAGAGTGGCCTTGAAGACGCTGTGCTGCATGACGTCAGCCAGTCACAGAGACAAGTCCTGTGGGATTCCACTTAGGTGAGGTCCCCACAGCAGTCACATTCATAGAGGTAGGAGGCAGAGTGGGGCACTAGGGGATGGGGGATGGGAGTCCAGGATCAATGGGAAGAGTTTCCGTGGGGAAGATGAGAGAGTTCTGCAAAGGGCAGCGATGGCTGCACCAGGGTGCGCATACCTCACTCTGCTGAGGGTGGCTAGAGTGGTTTTTCTCTGCCCACAGACGCTGTCTTCATTTGGCCTTTCTGCAGTGAGGGCAGGAAGGGAGACTCAGAGGAAGGGACACCTCCCAGGAGGGTCAGGAAGGGATTCCTAAGAGGGATGCATCCCACCTCCCAGCAAGGTGTGCTGGGCATAGCACCTGCTCTCCTTTGCTCTCTCCAAGGGTTAGGCTGCCGCCCTGGACTAGGAGCTTTGGTCGCTCCTCCAGGCACCCTCCGGGCCTCTGGAGGCTGCAGCAGACACCTCCAGCCAGCTGGGTCCTGCCTTCAAGGTGCTGGTCCTGATGTCCACTGGGGTTCTCCTAGTTTTAGGGCCAGTTGAGCTGCCCAAGGTCCTGAAGAGGACTTTGCACAGGAGGCAAACTGCAGGGTCCTGAGCAGAGAACCTCCAGGAAAAGGGGTCACCTGGGCACCAAAAACCCCAGGACTGCCCTGTACAGCTTGAGTATGGCACTGGGGCTGATTTCAGCAGCTGGAAAGGTGCAGGAGCTGGCCCTGCAGGTAACTGGTGACTCCTTTACAGGTTATTTCACCACCAAGTGTGACTTGGAGGCAGAACAGGTCCCAACTTGGGGCAGGAGGAGGGAAGGCACAAGTGGGTAATGGTCCAGCAGGGCTGGTATTGTCAGTGGGACTGGATGGAGACAGGAACTGCTGCCATCTGGCTCTTGATAAGGTTGGTGGCTGACAGGGGTAGTTTAGCCAGGCCCTCCTGGCTGTGACCTGGCTATGAGCCTCAGTTGCACCCTCCATAGTGTCATGTAGCATGGTGTTGAGTACGGGGCCTGGCACTTGTGAAACACTTGTTAAAACCATTAGGGAAAAAATCCAGATTTCTTCATTTGTAATTAGCAATAGCAGAAAGAAAAGGACAAGAAGAGGCGACCCAGATGGCTGTGGGTGGAGTAGGGAGAGGACAGTCCCTGAAGAGAATGGGAACCAGCTGTGTGGCATAGGGACTGCAGCAGTGGCAGCAGCTCATCCTCTGAAAGTTGGTGGACAGGGAGAGGGCAACAGGGAAGAAGAGTTCTGCTGTGCAGGACGGGACCAAGGGAGGTCTGTGCAGGGAGGGGAGGCTGAGGGCTCAGGAGGAAAGTAGGGGTGCCGGGCAGGGCAGTCCTGGTGGAGGAACTGCTTGGCAGGGAGCATGACTGGTTTTGTTTCTTAAACAAACTTTCTGTTTTAGAGAAGTTTTCAGCTCCCAGCAAAACTGAGCAGAAGATAGAGAGCTCCCATGTACTCCGACCCCCACCCCCACACAGTCTCCCCATCATCACACTCTTCTTTCGCCCAAGACTCTGTTGGTCTGAGTGTGTCAGGGAGCAGCAATAAACTGATGGGTGCAGAGCCTCACCCAGCACAGAGCAGGGCTGGGTGCTTGCTGGATCAAGGGACAAGCTTCTAGATGTTCCCTCTCCTATTTCTTCAATGCCGGAGCCTGGATGGATCCTGGGAGATGCCAGAGTGGCAGTCAAGAGCAGGTCTGTGCAGCCAGACAGCACAGCTGTTCAAGTTGAAGGTAGACATAATGACCCTCAGAAAACATGGATCTCACCATGAAAAGTCTCTGAAGAGGGCTGGGGATGTGGCTCAAGCGGTAGTGCACTTGCCTGGCATGCTTGCGGCCCGGGTTTGATCCTCAGCACCACATACAAACAAAAACGTTGTGTCCGCCGAAAGCTAAAAAAAAATAAATATTAAAATTCTCTCTCTCTCTCTTAAAAAAAAAAAAATTAAAAAAAAAAAAAAAAAGAAAAGTCTCTGAAGAGAAATCCAGGCATTCCAGCACAAATTCAGAAGATATATGTGAAAAAGAAATTACTTAGAAATAAAATATAGGTGTAAAATAAATATAGGTATAAAAAGGAATCTTACCAGGCCTAAGGGAAAACATTGGGGGTGTTCTGAGCAGGGACCCCGCTGCCAGAAGCAGGAAGCAGGAAGTCTCGTCTCCACTGGGCATTGTTAATACCAAGGCCTGGGGCAGACTGGCTCCTGCCCCAGCATCAGGACAAGGGGAAGACTTGCAGTCAGAGACCACACGCCCCACTGCTATTGACCTTGGTGTTTCGGAGGGCCACACTATAAATGATACTGTCCATAGACAGCACCCAACACAGAGCCAATTTTAAGACCTTTTTAATTTTTTTTTTTTTTTTTGGTAGTTGTAGGCAGCATGCCTTTATTTATTTATTTATTTTTTATGCGGTGCTAAGGATCGAACCCAGTGCCTCACACTTGCAAGTGCTCTGCCACTGAGTCACAGCCTCAGCCCCACATTTTAAGACATTTTTAGTCATAGTCTAAATATCAAAAAATATTTTATCAAGCAAACATTTTGTGGAAAAGTCAGTATAAAATACACTACTGAGGTAGCCTTTATTTTGTAGATATTTTAAAAAGCTCACAGAGCAACCTAGGAGGCTGAGGCAGGAGAATCACAAGTTCAAAGCCAGCCCTTAGCAATTTAGTGAGGCCCTATGTGACTTAGCGAGACCCTGTCTCAAAATAAAAAATAAAGGGCTGGGGTTGTAGCTCACTGGTAGAGTCACTTGCCTAGCATGTGTAAGGCACTGGGTTTGATTCTCAGCACTGCATAAAAGTAAATTAAAAAGTCCATAAAGAGAGAGAGAGAGAGAATTTTTTCAATATTTATTTTTTAGTTTTTGGTAGATACAACATCTTTATTTTATTTTTATGTGGTGCTGAGGATCGAACCCAGCGCCCCACACATGCCAGGCAAGCGCACTACCGCTTGAGCCACATCCCCAGCCCCTAAAAATATTTTTTTTTAAATAAATAAGTAAATAAATAAAAATATTTTTTTAAATAAATAAAAAGGGCTAGGGATATATGGCTCAGTGGTGAAGAGCCTCTGTGTTCAATCCCCAGTACCAAAGTGAAAAAATTCTCAGAAACCCTTTATTTGAACTATTCTGGCTGTGACAGAATAATCTTAACCAAAAAAAAATTAAAGAGTAAAAATTTTAGAATCAAAGTAACCTCAATTACAATTTAGCTACATTTATTTATGACCTGAAGTCATTAACTTTTTTTTTTTTTTTTTTGGAAATAGGGATCAAACCCAGGGTCTTATGTGTACAGGTAAGCACCACCAACCACTCTACCATCCCCTGTCTTCATTTAATCCTTTTTTTTTTTTTTGTACTGGGAATTGAACTCAGGGGCACTCAATCACTGAGCCACATCCCCAGTCCTATTTTGGACTTTTACTTTAGAGACAGGGTCTCATTGAGTTGCTTAGTGCCTCACTGTTGCTGAGGCTGACTTTTAATTTGTGATCCTCCTGCCTCAGCCTCCTGAGCTGCTGGGATTACAGGTGTGCCATTTAATCTTAAATGTTTAAAAATCCAGGTTGGGAATATATCTCAGTGGTACAGTGTTTGCCTAGCAGCACCAAGCCCTGGGTTCAATCCCCAGTACTGACAGAAAAAAAATAAAAAGACTGTACTTTTTATTTTTAAAAAAGCACTGCCACGAAAAATTACTGGTTAAATTTTGTCCTCATAATGTCAAGGGCAAACATGTAAAGTGACGATAAAATCCCACTGAAGGGCTGGGGGCAGCTTGGTGGTTCTGCACCAGCCCAGCAAGCCCAAGGCCCGGGCTTCTATCTGTAGTACCATAAAAAATTAAATAAATAATAAAAAAGGTTGAAGAATCCAAAAAGGTAGCACAGTGAAGCATTTCTTGACACTTTGCATACAGCACTTAAAATCCAGCAGCACACTGAACACCAAGAATCAAGTCGAACCTCTTGGCACCAAAGACAGAACACCACTCAGGTAACTGTGACTACTACTCGCAGGTCTTCAGCCGGAACTATTCTTCTGCCAATGCTGGACCCCAACTTACCACATGGCTCATGTTGGATGACAAGTGCAGGAGATGCACAGGGTCTGTACAGAATGGAGACTTCTGAGCTGGGTGCGGTGGCACACACCTCTAATCCCTGTGGCTCAGGAGGCTGAGGCAAGAGAAACGCAAGTTCAATGCTAGCCTCAGCAACTTAACGAGGCACTTAGCAATTCAGCTTTGTCTTCACACAGCTGTGCTTGTCTCTGGCTCACTTGTGAGCCACCCTTGAATACAGCACTCTTGGCCTGAGGATCTGAGGGGCTCCAGAGGGCACAAGTGAGAGTTCTGCTTGGCCCACAGCTCTGCTTCCCACTCTGTGCTTGCAGCCACTGCCACTGGATGGGGACTGGCTCTACCCACCAGTCACCCATTGGCTGGAAGCCAGTGTCTCTGCAGGTGGTCCCTGGGATTGACACTATTTGGGGGCTTTGCTCACTGTGAGGATGGGCAATTCAGGTTGGGAGTGTAACTCAGTGGTACAGTGCTTGCCTAGCAGCCACCAAGCCTTGGTTCAAACCCCAGAGAACTGTAGTCCTGACACTCCCTGCCCACCTCTGACCAGAGCTCTTTGACCTTTCTTCCTGGAAACCCCAGGAAGAAAGACCCAGGATCCCTGAGGACCTTAGGGAGGTGAGCTGGCAATGAGATAAGCTATGTTACAACAGTCCTTGCACCATATGAACATTTGCCCTGGCCGCCGGCCGCCGGCCGCCAGGCGCCAGCCGCCAGCCACCAGCTGAGCTGAAGGGCACAGCCCATTTGCTCATGACTGTACTGTCTTTGCACCAGGCAGACCACTCAGGGTCTGAGAGGACCCTCAGCAGAAGCACTCCCCAGGAGTGTGCTAGCCAGCTTCCTATTGCTGTGACAACAGGAACTACCTGAGGAAGGAAGGTTTATTTTGGCTTCATCCACGGCCGGCTGGCCTCCATTTCCTTTACCTGTGGTCAGGCAAAGCATCATGGCAAGGAGCACGTGGTGGAGCAGAGCTGCTCACCCTATGCTGGCCAGGTAGCAGAGAGGAAGGGGTGGGCCCCAAGAGCCCCTTGAAGGGCACACTTCCAGTGACCTACCTTCTCTCAACAGCACCATCAGCTGGGGGTCACTCCAGACCCAAACCTTAACATACGTCATCCAAGAGTCCCACAGTCACAACAATCACTGTGTCCCCCTCTACCCTTACAGGTACCCAGCAATTCTCCTCACCAGACTGTGAGGATGGAAGCTGAGGTCCTACCTCCCTACGACAGGGCAGGAGAGCTCGAGGGCATTTCTCTGTCATCGCTAGTCTCTTGGACAGAGACTGCCTCACCTATTCATGTTTCAAGATAACCATGCTATAGTCAGGGCCTGGGCCCTGCACACTCAATGACGTGCTACTAACTCACAGGTCAGGTAGTAATACTGCAGTGAGTGGACGCTTCACTTGGCAGCCACCAGCTTCCAAATATATTCCCATCACTGAGTCACTTTTTTCAAGTGAGTTTTATTAACATTTGTACACTGTTCTATCCTACATTGGTGAAATTCAAGACTCAGAAAACAGACATGCTGTGCTAGGCTTTATTTAACATTGCCTCTGTGATGACAAGCCAGCTTGGGACCGAGGTCAGGAGGGAGCAGGTGGTCCTGCCAGGAGTCGGAGGCCCAGGGCTCTCGTAAGTGGAACCCAGGTTCTGGTGGGCCAGCATCAGGATGGGCTCCTAACTGCTCCTCTTCTCTTGTTTCCATCTCAGCCTGTTCCAAATCCTCTCCAGGGCCACCTTCCCCATGAAGAAGGTGATGACAAAATTACGCTTGTACCAGTCTCTGCAGGGAAACAGGAGGCATCCAGGATGAGCCCCAGGGATGAGGCCTGACAAGCAAGCAGCTCCAGCAGAGGTGAATTTTGCTCTGCCCTCCTCCCCAGGTCTTCCCCTGCCCCAAGCTGTGTCTCCACAGAAGGCATCTCTCCTGCCCTCCCATCAGGACAGGTGCAGGTGAAGCACCTGCCCCCATCCTCTGGTCTTGCTGAAGGACTCCTAAGAGCCTGCCCTCTGTCTAGTGGCCTTCTTGGAGAGATAACTGAGGAGGGATGCAAGAGGACTAAAGAGCCACAGCCAGCAGGCTCTGCAGGAATCGTGGGTCAGTCTTGATGTGGCCCTTATTTGCATGACAGCACACAGCAGAAGCACTGCAGTGTGAGAAGCTAACTCCTGGCGAGCCTGACATCGTGATGTTCCATGTGCTCCTCCTGTGAGGGACCTGTGCTTCTGCGTAAGCTGATTCTAAGGAAACAGTTCATACTGTGCTGGGGGAGTCTGCACTGCCTGCCAGTTACTGGACAGAAGCTGACAGAAGCCTATACATGGGAGGAGCCTGGAGAGCTCATGTGAGGGGAGGTGCACAACAAAAGCTTGGGTCAAGCTGGGGACGCCGCAAGGACGACACATGTCTGTGCAGCTTCTATTTCAGAGTCACACAAGTGATTTCGGGACCTCAGTGTGAAGGAAGGAGAACAACCCAGGGTGCTAAGGCAGCCACAAGAGGTGAGCATGCTGGCTTTCTGCCACCTCCACACTCCCTGACTGAGGACATCTGTTTCCACCTGCTGATGTGAGGCTGCAGTGAGGAGCAGTGTCTAAGACAAATGGCTCGGGGAAGGCAAAACCGGAGTTCTGTCAGGACCAAGGTCTGGGATTCCGGAAAAGCCAGACTCCTGTCACTAGTGCAGACACCTGCCTGATGTATGGGTGGGAAGGGTGCCCTGTGCCATCCACATCAAGCCAGTGGGGAGCAGGTCTGGTGCAGACAGGCTCTTGGCCCGCACACTCACTTGGCTAAAAGCTTAACCAGCACAGAGAGATGCTCCACAGTCTTAGGAGCAGGACCCAGATGCTTCAGGACTAATCTTTGGTCAAGGCTCCTCTCAGGAGCTCATTCAGCCTCAACTATCATCAGTGTCCTCTTGGTCTTCCCTCACTTGCCCATCTGACTCTGTCACTGTTTTATATGTTTTTATTTTTTTTTAAACAAAGCCTTTTTTTTTTTAAAAAGAGAGAGAGAGAGAGAATTTTAATATTTATTTTTTAGTTTTCGGCGGACACAACATCTTTGTTTGTATGTGGTGCTGAGGATCGAACCTGGGCCGCACGCATGCCAGGTGAGCGCGCTACCGCTTGAGCCACATCCCCAGCCCTTTTTAAATTTTTTAAAATACTTTTTTAGTTGCTGATAGATCTTTATTTATTTTCTTTTAATATGTGCTGCTGAGAATCGAACCCAGTGCCTCACACATACCAGGCACGTGCGCTACCACTGAGCCCCAGCCCCAGCCCCTGTCACTATTATTTTTTAAAGCAAATCTAAACTACCAATCTATCATTTCACCTGGATATACCAGTATATTACATGTTATCTTTTTTTTTTATTCCATCTTGGTATACATGTCAGTATTTTGATTTGATATTTATTAATATACTGTTTTGTTTTTATTTACTTTCTCAGTTTCCTTCTTTCTTGTTAATGTCCTTAGGATTAACTGTTGAGATCATATTAGATTGTTACACATTCTCATGTCTTGACATTCTGTAATCTCCCTACCTGATTGTAGTTGTTGTTTTGGGGGTTTGTGTGGGTGTGTGTGTGTGTGGGGGGTGTATGCGTGTTTAGCCTCTCTAAATGTACATGTATTTTTTTTCCTTTTTTTAAAATTTATTTTGATTTGTAATACATGATGGCAGAATTGCAATTCACTTCATATTACACATATAGAGCACATTTTTTCAAGTCACTGATTGTATACAAAGTATTTGTGTCTTATACATACCCTTAGGGTAATGATATCTCACTCATTCCACCATCATTCCTACCCCTTTGCCCCCTCCTTTCCCCTCCTTCCCCTTTGCCCTATCTAAAGTTCTTCCATTCCTCCCATGATCCCTCCCAATCGCTATTATGTGACTGCATCCTCATATCAAAGAAAACATTTGGCCTTCGGTTTTTTGAGATTGGCTTGCTTCACTTAGCTTTATATTCTCCAACTTCATCATCTGTAAATGCCATGATTTTATTCTCTTAATGCTGAGTAATGTTCCATTGTTTGTATATATACCACAGTTTCCCTATCCATTCATCTACTGAAGGGCATCTAGGTTGGTTATTATTAGCTATTTAGCTATTGTGAATTGTGCTGCTATAAACATTGATATGACTGTGTCCCTGTTTTATATGTTATCTATAACTCACTAAAATCTTTTTTTAAAACCCATAATCACCATACCATCACTGCATCTAAGATGATCCATAACTAATATATAGTCCCTGCCCAACCTTCTCCATCTGCCCAAATCTCTCTTTCATCCAAACATTTCTTTACAGCTGCTGTGTGTCAATCAGGGCCCAAACAAGCCTAGACATTGCATGAATAGTCTACAATAGCTGCCCCCTGTCCCTGCCGCTTTTTTGGTGCCAGAGATGACACTAAGGCCTTTGAGTATGCTGGAATGCTCTACCACCCTAGCCCCTTTTTTTGTTGTTTTCCTGGCTACTTGTTGAAGAGCCTGACTCACTGGCTTGCAGAATCCTCAGTGTTGGGCATCTTCGAGCTTCACCTCAAACACTGTCTTCTACGTTGCCCCTTTAGTATTTCCCTGCAAACCAGCATTTTGTTTGAAGGCCCAACCACATTGCAACTCCATCTTCTGTAAGAACCCTACACAGGGCATTATCTGTGCTTCCGTCCTGTCACAGAGGCTGTCCTGCTCCATGGTGTGTGTGCTGGGGCTGCAGGTGTGTCATCCTGACCCTTAATTATTCCATCCCCACCAGTCTTCCAGCCAGGGGTGTTGGCTGCCAGGGTGACTGTTGCATAGGTCTGTTACTTCATTAGGAAAATGGGAACTTGCTAAGTCATCTCTCTGCATTGGCTGTCTTTCTCCTACAGAGGCAGTGCTGCTTTGTGTGGTCACCATGAGACACTGCTGGTGCAGGAAAGGCAGAAAAGTGGGGCATTCTTTGGAATTTTTCCTTCTGTTTACCAATTTCTAGACTAACGACTTGGTAGTGTGGCCATACTGAGGTGACCTGTAAGCTTCGACCAGTCATCTGGAATGCAAAGGAATGCATCTGCCTGACATCTTGTCAGCCACCACCTTTGGGAAGCTGACTGACAGCCTCCTTGCTTCCAGCCAGTCAATGTCTGCACTCAGCCTGCACCCTTCCTACCCTGCACAGGCTTCTCAAGGAAGCACAATGAACTAGTGTCCAAGGACTAGGAACAAGAACTGCCATGGCATCATGCCAATAATCCATGGCTGGCCATTTTATTTTAAAGTGAGAGTGAAGTGGACAAAATCATGCACTTCTACCTCTGATATAAATCTCAAAACTGCTAAATTCCGGTCAGAAAATAATTTTGCCCAATCCAACTTTTAGGAAGGAAAGAAACACTTACCTATTATAATACATGTGCTTCTGAAAATTTTTACTTAAAAATTCCTTATAAAAGTCAGCCATTTCTTCTGCATTCAAGGTTGCTTTTTGACCTGAAAGTAAAATTCAACATTAAGACTTCAGGACAAGTCAGGCACAGTGGTGCTTGCCTATAATCCCAGTCACTCAGAAGGCTGAGGTGGGAAGATCGAAAGTTCAAAGCCAGCCTTGACAACTTAGCAAAGACCTAAGCAACTTATAAGACTCTGCCTCAAAATAAAAAATAAAAAGTCTGGGGATATAGCTCAGTGGAAGTTCCCCTATCTTCAATCTCTAGCACCAAAAAAAAAAAAAAAAAAAGACTTCAGGACAAGAGATATCCAAAAAACCTATTAGAGCTAATAAACAAATTCAGCAAGCTTACAGGATACAAGATCAACACACAAATATCAATTTTATTTCTACACACTAGCAATAAACAAGCTGGTGTTGATTTCCTTTTGTTTGTTTTTTGTAGCATTTGGGATTAAACCCAGGCCTCACACACACTAGGCAAGCATTCTACCACTGAGCTACATTCCCAGCCCTTTTTACATTTCATTTAAACATAGTGTCTCACTAAGTTGCCCAGGCTGGCTTCATCTTGTGATCCTCTTGCCTCAGCCTCCTGAGTTGCTGGAATTATAGACATATGCCACTCACCTGACTGCAATGAATAATCTGAAATAAAATTAAGAAAACAACTCCACTCACTATAACATCAAAAATAATAGACTTAAAACCAGACTTGATAGGGCACACCTGTAATCCCTGCTACTCAGGAAGCTGATACAGGAGGACTGCAAATTCAAGGCCAAAGTGGGTAACTTGTGAGACCTTGTCTCATGATAATAATTAAAAACAAAAAAGGCTGGGAGATGTAGCTCAGGGGTAGTGCGCCCCTAGCTTCCATCTCCAGTACCGCCAAAAAGTAAAAATTTAAAAATTACTATGGATGTAGTTTGGCAGTTCAGAGAGTAAGAACACTTGTCTAGCATGCACACCACACTGGGTTCAACCCCCAGTTCCACACACACAAAAAGACAGACATATGAATGAAGCTAGAGGCTATCATGCTAAGTGAAATAAGTCCATCCCAAAAAACCAAAGGCTGAAGGTTCTCTCCGATATTCAGATGCTAACAAACAACAAGAGGGGGTTGGGAGGGAAGAATAGAAGTTCACCGGATTAGACAAAGAGGAATGAAAGGAAGGAAGGGGGGTGGAAATAGGAAAGACAGTAGAATGAATCAGACATAACTTTGCTTTGCTCATATATGAATACATGACCAGTGAAACTGCTCATCGTGTACAACCACAAGAATGGGATCCAAATTGGAATAAGTAATACTCCGTGTTTGTAAACTACGTCAAAATATACTCTACTGGGGCCAAGGATGTAGCTCAGTTGGTAGAGTGCTTGTCTTGTACACACAAGGCCCTGGGTTCAATCCCTAGCACCACCACCACAAAAAAAAAGAAAACTGGGCTGGGGATGTGGCTCAAGCAGTAGCGCGCTCGCCTGGCATTGGGATCCGGGTTCGATCCTCAGCACCACATACAAACAAAGATGTTGTGTCCGCCGAAAACTAAAAAATAAATATTAAAAAGAATGGTAAGAAAGAAAACCAAGATGCCAACTGAAAACAGGAGTGATGGTGAAGACAGGAAAGAAATTTGAATCAGTATAGCTACACTGGAAGGCAAGGGACCCTGGTCCACAGTCCTGCCTTTTGTGGCCCTGACAAGAAGCTCTAGGTTTAAACTAAGGGAGACCTGAAGTGGGGCAAGAAGCATGCATAATAACGCAATCTTGGTCAAACTGTGGGCTGAGTGACAGCAGCTTCTTTTGCTCAGATGAGACAACTCTTGGTGGGCTCCTGGACAACTTTAGGATGGAGCCTGGGTGCCACAAAGACCAAGTCTTGGTGAGGATGTGGGGAAAAAGGTTCACTCATACACTGTTGTTGGGACTGCAACTATTGTGGAAAGCAGTGTGAAAATTCCTCAGAAAACTTAGAATAAAACCACTATTTGACCCAGCTATCCCACTCTGTGGTTTATATCCAAAGGACTTAAAATCAGCATACTACAGTGATGCAGCCACATCAATGTTTATAGCAGCTCAACTCACAATACCTAAACTATGGAACCAAACTAGATGCCCTTCAACAGATGAGTGGATAAAGAAAATATGGTATATATACACACCAGAAAATTACCCAACCTTTAAGAAGAATGAAATTTTCATGTTTGTTGGTAAATGAATGGAGCTGGAGAATATCAGGCTAAGCAAAATAAGTCAATTGCAAAGAACCAAAGGCCGAATGTTATCTCTGAAATGCAGATGCTAATTCACAGTAAGAGGAAGGGGCTAGGGAAGAATAGAAGTACTTTAGATTAGACAAAGGGGAGTGAAGGGAGGGGAGGGGGTGTGGAGGTAGGAAGGTTAGTAGAATGAATTGAACTTTATTACCCTACTGGTTTAATTCCACATTACAGGGGCTGGGGATGTGGCTCAAGCGGTAGCGCGCTCGCCTGGCATGCGTGCGGCCCGGGTTCGATCCTCAGCACCACATACAAACAAAGATGTTGTGTCCGCTAAAAAATAAATATTAAAAAATTCTCTCTCTCTCTTAAAAAAATAATAATAATTCCACATTACATGTACACATCATGTATAATCAGAAGAATGAGACATTATACTCCATTTATGTATGATGATGCATTCTACCATCATGTATAACTAATTAAGGAAAAAAAAAAAAGACCAAGCCTTGATTAGAAGTCTAACTCAATCTCCAGGGCAGGGCAGGGCTGGAGATGGAGCTGATCACAGATGGCCAATGACTTAATCCACCATGCCTGCCTAATGAAATCTCCAGGAAGCCCCTACACCTTGGGGTTCAGAGGGCTTCCAGGATGGCACACTCTTCAGGTGCTGGGAGGTGGCATGAGGAAGAGGCATGGTAGTCTGTGCCCCAAACCTAGCCCCCAAGTGTCTCTCTTCTAGCTTTTCCTGATTGGTATTCTTTGTAATAAACCAGTAGCAGTAAGTAAGTCACTTCTAAAAATTCTGTTCCAGCAAATTACAAAGCCTTCAAAGGGAGTCAGAGAGACCCTGACTTATAGCTTGTCAGTCACAAGTCTGGGAGGTGGGACTGGCCTTTGAAGTGGGAGCAGTCTTGGGGACTGAGCCCTTTAACCTGTGGGATTTGACAGCAACTCCAGGAAGAATGTATCAGAATTGAATTGAATTGCTAGACACCCAGTTGGTATGGAGAACTGGACAAATAGGGTTGAAAAATATAACCATGTAGCTGGGCACGCCTGTAATCTCAGCTACTGGTGAGGCTGAGGCAGGAGGATCGCAAGTTTAAGATCAACTTGGGATCAGTGAGATCCTTTATCAAAATAAAATAAAAGGGCTGGGGTGTGGGGTGTGGCTCAATGATAGAGTACTTATCTAGCATGGAGGCCCCAGGTTCCATCCCCTATAAGGCAAAAAAAAAAAGGAAAGAAAGAAAAAGAAACAACCAAAACAACAACAACAAAACAATACCAATACCATGAACTTGGTGTCAGGAGGAAGAGACCTGTGGATCCACAGCTGCATGAGTCATAGTCAAAGAAGGAACAACAAACATCCTTCAACTGAGGGACAGAGAAAACGCACTCCATCCATAGCATGGAACAGCATTTGGTCATAAGGAAGGATCTCGGAAGCACTGTAACATGGACAAGCTGGACACAGGGTAAGCATGCTGTAACATGGACGAGCTGGACGCAGGGTAAGCCCAGGTGGAGGCAGCAGGCAGATACACGCTGCATGATCCATTATCTGCCATGTGCAGAACAGGTAACTCCAGATACAGACAGCAGACTGGTGCCTTTGGGGTCTGGAGGGAACTGAAACTGACTGTTAACAGGTAGAGGTTTCCCTCTGTGCAGATGGAAATGTCCTGGGATTAGACATGATGTGCGGATGATCTGTGAACCCTAAAAACCCAGAATTACACACTTTCAAAGGGTCAATTTTAAGGTATGTGGATTATAACTCAGAAAGGAAAAAAAGACTAAGGGCCAAAAAGTTAGATGCTGTATCATCAGACCTACTAATTACAGGAGACTCCATGCCCTATGCAGGCCATGGCACATGCCTGCCTTGCCATGCTGGGCCAGTGTGCACAGACCCTCACCAAGGAGCTGTGACGGGGCAGTGAGGAGCCTCCCAGCCCGGGGAAGGCAGGAGCCTGCCTGCTCAGTGGGCTCAGAACACTGAGTGAGGGTGCTGGGCGGGGGGCTGGTGCAGGGACAGACACAGCCCATCCCCATGGTTGGGTGGTGCCACTCTCGGAATCACCCATTCACAAGCCCCAAGAAGGCCCTGGCAGAAATCTGCAGAGCAGCTCAGGCCCAGGCTCTTGCACCAGCAGTGGTGGGTGAGAGAATGAGATTGTGTGGTGGGGAAAGGGTGAGAGAGTGCACCCTGGCTTCCAGGCCCAAGCCCTGAACAAGAACTACCATCTCCTATAAGAGCCTGGGCACTACACTCAGGGCTGAGTCAGAGAAGCAGCCAGGCTCCTGCTCCCACCCTGTAGGGGTGTTATGCTCTAATCCCCTGCCATCCACCTCCAGCAGAGCCGTGGCCTGGCAGCATGGCTATGCTGAGGCCACAGCCCACTGGGATGCTCAGGTCAGTCAGCTGGGAGCTGACCAAGTGCATGTTCCCAGACAGAAACAAGCACACTGTCCCCTTACAACAGAGGCCAGGAGCCACACTGCTCTGGCACCCGCCAGGCCCAAGCAGTAGTGTGTGTGGCTGGAGCAGATGGTGGCTCAGCTCCGCAGCACTGCTGTATCCAGCCTTGGCTCTGCCACTCACTAGGCAGTGCAGGCGACTTCCTATCTGTGCCTCTGTTTACTCAATTGCACAATGCAGGCAATGGCCACGGTGTCCCATGCACTACTGCTGACACAGAGCAAGGCGAGTGTCAGACTCTGGTCACGGCTCAGCAGTTATCTACTATGCAATGCACACAAGGCAGTTTATTCACAAGTCCTCTCCTGGCCAG